GGACCAATAAAAGATAAACAATAATGAACATTTTTCAATTTTCATATTTGAAAGAAACTGGGTTTCAAGGATTTAAAGATGACCCGCAAACTTGGAAATCAAACAAACCGCATGTTCTAATCAAAAGATTGGTAGACTCAAAAACAAAATTCCAGCTCCCTTTCTCTGTTCGACAAATGCAACCAAATGGTTATTTTCTGCAAATGTGGCTCCTTCCAAATTTCACATGAATTTTGAGGCCGGGGAGGATTATTTCGACACTTTACAAACTTGTCCATTCTTTTACGAAAATAACCTTTCGACAACTGAAAGATACTCTAAGGCTATTTCGGCAAGAACGGTTCAAGACGCAGCCGAAGCTGGCTCGACTTATTTTTTGACTAAAAATTCAAACGGTATTCACCTAACTGCTGACTATTTATTCTTTTTTTTCAAATTACAATGAAAACGTGGAGTTGCAAACACAGCCCTTCAGCGCCTCGGGGCCGAAGATTTTTAAGGATGTGCGGGTCAACTGGACCAAACTTCTAAACATGACCTAAAAGGTGGCTGTTTATGCAAAGTCAGCCTTCCGGCGTCCCTTTCGGGAACATTCGGCTATTTATGACAAAACAACATCACTTGACTTATTTATGACTCTTTTTATCGATTTTCAAATTAGAAAACTCAATACTGCAAACACGGCCTTTCAACGTCTCGGGGACGAAGATTTTTAAGGCTGTGTGGGTCATCTCGACCAAATCTGAAATATGAGCCAAAAGTGGCTGTTTATGCAAAGTCAGCCTTCCGGCGTCCCTTTCGGGAACATTCGGCTATTTTTGACAAGACAACATCACCCGGTTTACTTATGACAGAATTAAAAAATTGACACGTTTTTTTTCTTATATTATTATTTATTTATTTTTGGCTATTTTAGCAAAAGGTGAGGTTGGACCCGATGAGGGTTGCCTACGTATCTCACATCCGGTGAGAATCAAACCCGCGTAGTTCGGGCCAATGAACTATTTTTCGAGAAGACCCTTGCCTATTTTTTTTATTATTATTTTTTCACAACAATCAAATAGACTATTATTTTTCATTCATAACAAACAAACAAATTAGCGAAAAACACAAAACACTTTTTTTTTTTAAAAAGGTGGGGTTGGACCCGATGAGGGTTGCCTACGTATCTCACATCCGGTGAGAATCAAATCCGCGTAGTTCGGGCAAATGAACTACTTTAAAAGCAGAAAGGAAGCATTTTTTGATTGATTTTCTTTTTACAAGAAACACTTCTAAGATATATTTTGGAATTTTCATTTGCACTTTTTTTTCCTTTATTCTAAAGAAGAAGAAGAAAATATTTTTTGGAATTTTGCTTTTGATAAAAGAAATGCTTCTCAAAATGTTTTTTTTTTGGATTTTGAATTTTCTTTTCAACTTTGAAAAAGAATCAAAATATTTTCGGATTTTTTTTTATTTTATTTTATATTATATTATTTTTTTTGAAAACAATTAGAAAGACTTCCTAAAGAAGTCAATAATGGAGAAAATATTTTTGGATTATTTTAATTTTGTCATTTTCATAAACAAATAAATAGCACAAACTTTAAAAACAAGACTCTTTTTTTCATTTTTATGGCAAGACAAACTATTTTCTTTTCTATTAATGTTTTTTTTTTTAAAAAAAAAGACAAAACAATGATTATTTTTTCTACTTTTCCTTTGCTTTAATAAAACAAACTAATAAGACATATATTTTTTTTATTTTATATCCTCAAAATTCCTGCAGAGTTTCGACACTACTTGGACATTTTTTTTTTCTAATAATAAGTAGTTATATCTCTACACTGTTATTTTCTCCTATTTTCCACTATTTTCTAATTTGTGGATGATGATGAAAACATACACAATCTCTCTCCTTTTTTTTTCTTTCGAATTTTCAATGTTTTTTTTATATATATACATATATATTTTATTTTTTATATTTATTATATTTTCAAAAATGTGGCATGGGGGACATAGGGAATTTCAAGACTTCTTGGATTCCGCAAATGTTCCCCATGTGCTTTTCCCAAAAATGAAGCGTGGGGGACATAGGGAATTCCAAGGCTCCTTGGATTCCACAAATGTTCCCCATGCTTTGATTAAAATAACACCATGCTGGAAATGACCAAATGAC